GTTTCATAAGCATGCACAAAATTCTTGACATGTAGGAACATATTTAGAAGCTAAGAAAGCAAAAATGCAGAGAAATCCAAGAATTTGAAGTCCTGCAGCAACTCAGTGGCAAAACTACATTAGAAATCTGGAGTCATATCCATATTTCTTTTTCTTAGAGTATTTGTCCTAGGTGGTTGCTTACCCTTTCACTGGGACAATGAGGATGGCCACAGCCTCTTGAAGGAGAATACAATAAACAAGCCTCAGCTCACAGGCTTGGGTCTAACCTGCTCTGCCAGATCCGTTTGTCCCTCCTAAGTAACAGGGATTTTGGGGGGGGGGGCAGTAGCAAGGTTTTGTATTTATTAAAGATATTAAAGGTAGGAAAGGAAATACACTCTGCAGAGTGAATGCAGGCCACTAAGGAAGCTTACTGTGGCCAGTAACAGGCATTTAAGCAAGAACAAAAGCCATATAAAAAAAAAAAAAAAAGGAAAAGCAAGAGAGCAAATGGCAAAGGCCCATCCCTCCCTTGTTCTCTAGTTGCCCCATCTGTCCCATTCTCTGGAAAAACATTAAAATTGTTCTCATCACCTCAGTGAAGAGTCCAGCCTCAGTCTGACTGGTCACACCCTCATGCCCTCCAGGGGTACTGTGGCAGGCATTGTGTGTGATTCAAGATGACTAAGGCACTCTCATGGTCCACAGGGAGTATGAGTACAGTAGGAAAAAAGGCATAAGCAAAAGTGAGCCTTACTAGAGGGAGAATAAACTCTGAGCCCTGCGAAAGGCCCAAATAAGAAGTGGGGATGCTGGGAAGCAGGAAAGCAAGAGCTTGCTACCCTGCCAATTTCAGCCTCTGCTGGTATAGCTACACACACACACACACACACACACACCCCAATATCCCAGATCAGCAGGATGAACTTACCCCAAGAAAGATTCAAGTCAATAGTCATTAATGCCAACAGTAACATAATAGCAACAATAAAGATAGTGTCTTACAAGTAATGAATGCATCCTGTGTTCCAGGTTTTCTTCTTGTGTCATCTCATTTTATTTTTAGAACAACTCCACAAGGTATCAAAACCCATTTTTAGAGAAGAAAAAACTGAGCCTTATTCTTTCTTTCCTCAAATATTTTTCGAGTGTCTATCATGAATTCATATCAATCTACCAGTAACAATCAGATAGACAAAATCTCTTACAATGTAGAATTGGTTACTTTTCTTGTCACTGAGACAAAATACCCAGCATCCAAAGTTAAAGGAGGAAAGGTTTATTTTGGCTTACAGTTTGTAGATGTTTCAGTTCATAGTTGGATGGCTCCAAAGCATAGCAGAAGGGCATCAAAGAGAAGAAACAGTTCATGGTGGGCAGAAGGCAGCAAAGCAGTGAAGTAATGAGGAAGCAGCAATCGACAAGTGATGACACTCTTTCTGTCCTTTATATCCTATCCAGGCTACTCACCCTTAAGGTGGGTAGCACTCACACCCAGCGTGGGGCAGCTTTAATCCTAATATTAAATCATAAATCAATCCCAGCATCACACCTTTGATTCCAGTATCACATACCCTAGATCCAGCCACCTCTGCAAAGTCCCATCTATGACCACATGAGGCTTTGGGGGAGCCATAACATATGGTATGTTCTCTTGTAAGATAAGTTCTGCATTTAAAGGAGATACGATTCAAACTCAACCACTCTAACAAAAGAATCTATATAGTACTTTCAAACTTCCAAGAAGCACTCTGCCTGGGGCTGGCCACTGCTACTTACACTCATCATTAAAAGTAAAACATTGTATTTCCTCTACTGTAGCATATACGGCTTCTTCCCACTTCAATGGCTGGAAGTTGGCTGTTACTTTACAATACATGCTAAAAGAAACCTATAGGCTGCAGAATGAGAAGTAAATAAGAATATAGCTGCTATTGCTCTTCAAGTGTGGTTTTAGGTGAACACGGGTCATTTGATCACCAGCTCTGCCGAATTTTTTAACAAATGTTAACATTAAATGAAGTTAATTTAAGGTTCTAACATTGCTTCCAAAAAAAAAGCTCACTATGAAACAAAATTGAAAGAAAAAGATATGCATGCAAGAGATCACTTATCACATGCAATATAATTAAAAGGAATGGAAATTACAAGATCTCCTGGAGCAGACAAAGAAATTGCAAAACCTAAACTAGGATTCAGATGACAAGTGTAGGAAGTTTTTAGGTATTTACAGTGCAGCAATACATGATCTATTAAGGGAACATAAACTATGGTTTAGCCAACAAGAAAATGCAGACCAAACTTACTACTTTTTGATAAGCTTCAAAATTGCACTGCTGATCTTACGAGCTCAAGAACATAAATAATATACTTTATGAAATGCATCACATAATTCTGAAGTTATATATAATTTCTAAAAACCAAATATTATGCAGAACTTCATTAAAGTGAAAAACACTTGATTAGGGTGTGGCAAAAGATGGCTAGGAAAGTAGGCATGACCTGTAAATTACAAGATCCCTGACACGTGCACAACAGTTCCCAAAGCCCTGAACATGGTCTTTCTCTTGAGAACTGGAGCAGGTTTTCAGGAGAATGGCCTAGACCTGACATCAGCCTGAGGTATAGTATCTTAGCCCCCACCTCTCAGGACCCAGATATAGACGTTCTCATGGGTTTTTCTTGAGATTTGGACGGTATAAAAGAAAGGCAAACATGAGGAGCTGATGCTATCATAACTTCTATGATGGCCCATGCTGTACTTTTATCTTTGCTCTCACCCTCTTTTTCTATTTACTCAGCCCAAGCTCACTCTGCAGAGCCAGTTTCTCTCCCTCTCTTCACTTATATTTTCTTGAATAAACTTTGCCACTGCTTTTTACACATTTCGTCCAATTCTTTGTCTGAGACAAGAAGAACCTAGAATCTAACCCCAGAAGGAGAGGTGAGCAACCTGATGTGGTAACATTTAATTGGCAAGCCACTTTTTTAGAAACAATCTACCCAATAACACACCTACGTATTCTCTAAACTCTGCTTATATAGCGTATATAAGCATATGAATTAATAAGAGTCACTACAGACAATTTTCAAGTGTGAATATTTAAACCTATGTTTCTTTATTTCTAGAAAATGCAGTTAACTTAAAGGCATATTCTAAATGGTCAATGACATAACTAATACCACTATCTTCCATGGTGCCTCAAAATAGAGGACAATGACAACTGCCCTAAAGCACTTACAAAACATAGGATTTGGTGTTTTACATCTTTCCTAACACTCGTGACAACACCATAAAGGAGAAATCTTTAGAATTTCCATTTTACATTTAAGGAAACTAAGGTTCAAATATACCAGTAATTTCTCAAGGTCATATAGCTAATAAGAAGACAGTGGAACCAGATCTCCCTCAGATCAAAGCCCCAGTAGTCTCCAGGGCACTACAATACCCCTCCCTACTAATATCTACCCCACCCAACCCCACCCAACCCCACCCATGCATAGGAAGCACAGGTAAACCTTCACTTGAAGAAAACATACTTAGTCTCTCATGCAGGATGGGCCAGCATGAATTTGGGTAGCAGAATCCCCCATGCGAAGCACTCCCCCAGAAATTGACCAAAGTCGCTATTTATATGACTGTTTCCATTTTCTATACTTTTGAACCTGTTCCAACAGGTCTCAAATTAGCCAGCTACCTCAGCATTCACACAGCCAATCAACTTACTGTTTCAGTTCTTTAGTTATGCTAATCTGGTAGCAAATTCCAGAGACAACAATAAATAGCTTGGTAAGAAACAAAGGTGCTTTCTGAGTTTCTCAGGTTAAAACAGGAAGAGTCCTAATTGGTAAGAAACAAAGGTGCTTTCTGAGTTTCTCAGGTTAAAACAGGAAGAGTCCTAAGTCCTGGCCATGGATCCCATTTTCCTTGGAAATGTCATTTCACATCAGCGTTGAAGGGAGCAGAGGCCTCTCTCAGCCCATGGGGGAGTGTAGCTTGCTGTGCTAGTCAATTTCTGGGGATCCATCCAAGGTCTCAGGACATGCAGTTCTACTAAACAATTGCTTTTACTCTTGACTGAAATTTCCCAGGTGACAGGTAGGGGCTTGTGAATTTTTCACCGTTCTCTGGACATGGGCCATTGGGCAGTTCATCTCTGACTGAACAATCTTTTTCAAGGTTTTTCCTTGAATATTCCCTGGAAAAGAACCTTAAGTTTGGACACTAAGAGTGGGTTAAAATATTCAGAATACTCAAGAAATATTTACTGAGCATTTCTGAGGATGAGTGATAAGATGATGTTCCTCCCACAAGGGAACTCAGAGTTGCATGTGAGAGGTAAGACTGTTCAGGACTAACTAAAACAAACAGGACAAGTGCGTGTTAACCTGGAACACAGAGGAGGAAGGGATGGTTCTAGATCTAAGGACAAGAGTAAATCTCTTCCAATGTACTCTGCCAGGTCTTTTACACAGTACATCATCCTATCTAATTCTATCTCCACCCTGTGGAATCTGTTCTAATACAGTACTATTATCTTCATTTCACAAATGAGGAAACAGAGGAGAGGCAAAGGACTTAGCCCAAGGTCACACGACTCACTTGCCAACACTAGAATTAATATTTAGATCTGCTGGCCAGCACCTAGGCTTATATCATTTTCAGTACAATACACAATATCTCCTGAAGCAAAGAAAGTCCTGGTAGAAGAGGAATCTGAACTGGTTTCCTCTTCTGTGATGTGGGGACAACAGCAATGCCAGCTTCACAGAATCACATGGTGAAGGCTGGATGAAGTAAAGAACACAGAGACTTAGCATAATGTTGGCAAATTGTCAAAGTGCAGTGAATAGAGGCAGTTCTGCTATCATTACCACCATTCTTGTGATTTCTTCTTTAAAGGCGCTGGGATGTAGCGGTCATGGGCCAAAAAGGCCTTTTTAAAACATTTTTAAAAATTACTCCCATAATCCCCTCACCAGCGAGGCTCCTGCTTCACCAGAGGGCCAAGCCATACCTTCTCTTCCGAAGAAACGGTTAGCTTGTCGCTGGATATCAAGCTGCACACCTGGTCCAGACTCAGGCTGAGAAACTCTTCCCCCAGCATCACCTCTGGAAAGTGCTGCTCTGTTCCAAAGGAAAAAAAAAAAAAAAAAAAAAGAACACAAAGCTGAAACATACTCCAGCTCTTCTATGAGCCAATGGCACGACGGTCTGCAGGACTCAGAGCACAGGCCTGGGGGTGGGCATGGGTAGCAGAGGAAGAGGCAGCAGTAGAAGAAACACAGAGGCATCCTGACTGGAGGGAAACTAGCCTTTTAATGTAACAGCAAAGGCACACACCACCCTGTGTGATCCTATCCTGAGCATCAACACAGATGAAAATGGGGCAGAGAGGTCTGGAGAGAACATTTTTTTCCTTGTTCTGTAAAATGAATAATGGCCTTGCAGAAAAGCCTCACAGGGACCTGCCTACATAATTGAGCTCATTTCCCCTCAAGCCATGACCATAGTGCCCCCTGCAGCTTGGCCAAACAAAAGTGGGTCAGAATAGTTCTGTGTGGCTAGCAGTCTGACAGTTCTTGTGGGAAGTCAACAGTAAGAAGTCAGAAGATCCTTTCTTGCCCGAAGTCAAGCCTATTACAGTGAGTCACTGGTCTATGTGAGGAGTCCCAGTTAAGCTTCCGTTCAGCTACAGGGGCAACAAGTTGGCCCTCCCACCTCTAGGAATGGTCCATAGCCACAAGCCTCGGCAGTTACAAGATGAAGAAAATTTAGGAACAGCTAGAGCAAAGAAAAAACCCACGGGCCACCACAAGAGGAAAATGTCGGGGACAATTCCAACCCTAACATTTGCTTGGGCATCACCCTGCCATTACAGAACATTTTAACCACTGAAATGTCACCCACTTCAGAAAGAAGGAAACCAGTTTCAAATCTTGGCATTGCCTTTTATGAGCTGTGCCCTTGAGCCAATGATATCACTTTCCTGGGCTTCATTACACTCTTCTGAAAAATAGGGGTAACATTTTTTGTCCCGGGCACTGATGGGATTGAATCTGTCCAAGGTGTCTTATAAGCTCTTCCTAGGTGAGTACACCCAAAATTGGACAATTTGCCATTTAGCCGGCACTAGAGATCATGTTATTCTTTGACATTTGCACCAAGCCTTGCTCCTTTCTCAGTTCTCCCAAACCCTGCACTACTGAGCATCATGTGTACTCCTTGTCCTCCTGCCTCTTTCCTTCCTTCCTTGGTGTCCTGCCTTCAGGCCGGTGGACTCTGGGATAACTGTAAAGGGCTACACCTTCCCGTACTAAGAGCTGACCCCATTTGGTCAGGACGGACTGTTAAAAGAGATTCAGGGACCATGCAGGCCTAGAAGGCTGCTAAAATATCAAGTCTACTGCAGCTGCATATTAAAAAAGAAAATCAAAGCATGTTAAGCCTTTCTTTCACATTCATCAGCTTCTCAAAAGTCAAACAACTTCAGATTTAAAGCATTTTTTGAAAAACAATCATTGTAATTTTTGTACTTAAACAATTCAGACTTACCGAATTTCCAGACTTAAAGAATTTCTGCCTTCATCAAGATCTCTAAATGTTAATATTTTACTCTCAGAGTTACTGTAAAGAATTTCTTTCAACTTTCACTAAAAAAAAAAAAAAAAAAACGGGTTCCCTACTTGATCCCCTGAGCCTAATGAAATCACTCTGGTCATTACTAAAGCTTATGTATCCTGAAACTCAGAAATGTTTATACATAACAAGACAAATCCAAAAGTCAGATTCTTATGAAGGGTAGCAATATCTCAAAAAAAGCAGGTTTTTTTGCAAAGCTGGTCTTTGTTTCTCCGTATTTCACTAAGAAAGCTTTTCAGTTTTAAGTCCCCGGGAAAGTCTTACAAACCAGCACTCACACCTCCATGGTTCAGAACCACATCTGGCCTTCCAAATTTTATCTTTGGAGAAGCAAAAATCTGATGCTTAGAAGAGGGAAGAGAGGGAAGAGAATAAGAAGAGGCAAGAAAGTAAAATTGTATGCTGTGAAATAAAACCAATGACTTTCTTACAGCTAGGAAGCCAACGTAGAGTGGGCTTGGATTTTGAAAAGGAAAAGGAAGGAAGTGCAGTAATACATATTCCATAAATGGTCTGCTGAACCAACCAGAAGTTGTCAGAGATAAATGTCAGAAAGTAGTCAGCCTCCTACATCTTTCCATCTCTCACCCTGTGGGGCACAGAAGGACTTTAATCTGGGTCCCTTCTTTCTGAAGTGGGCTACTTCTTTGTCCATGAGGAACATTCCACTGAAGCCCATTCAGAGATCCTCCCAGGATGCAGTGTCTGGTGGGCAGGGGGCAACAAGGGAAGTAATAGATAGCATCTGTTCATCCAAGCCTAGTACCCAGAGACCCAGGAGATTTGCAAGGCACAAGCATAAAGAGACAGCGAAAAGGATCAAAGAGGAAATGTGCTCTTCCCGCCATCTTGGAACCTAAGAGGAATACTGGGGAGCAGACTTCTAAAAGGCAAGTTTGTCTGGCAGGCTGTGGTGTGGGGCTACTTTTGCTGGCTATAAATGAAGTCTCTGAGACCAAAGCAAGCACATAGCTCTTAAAACCAAAGGTATTTATGCCCAAGATGCAACGGAATTCTATATGGGCAAGAGATGTACTTATGTATACAAAGCAGAGAACAACACAGTGACTCCTGGCAGCAAACCAAACAAAACCAGAGTAATCTAGGGAATGAGAACTCATGCCATGGAAACAGAGGCATAGTCCGCGCCAAAATTGGAAGCAACCTTCCTGTGAAGCCCACAGAATCTGCGTGACACAGTACCCCTCAAGGATTCAGCTAATGAAAAGTAAATAAATAAAAGTAGATTTGGAAAGGAAGAAAGAAAGAAAACACCTTCTCTCTTCAGTCTGAGGAAACAGGTTGAGCACAAGAATCATGGGCCAAGAGGTCCTTTTCTGTTAGCAACACTTAAGAAGCAATGGCATAGAACAAAACAACAGGACCCCAGGCTAATGTGATTTCCTGGGCGATAGGAATTCCCCAGAAGACCATGTACTCAAGCCAGCATTCTTTGTAGCTGCTTCCCAGAAGGTACCCACTTGCCTCCAGGCTGTACTTTCTCAAGAATCATCTTCTACTTTTAACAATTATTTGTTTTTTGCTTTTCTTTGTCTTTAATGTATTCACAGAGAACACGGTAAAGACTCTTGGCTAAGACAAGACCTGTGTTCAGCTCCTGTAACCACTTCTTTCCAGACTTCAGCTTTCTCACCCGTAAAACGGAACCATAACTAAGGCCTTAGGATTGTTTTGAAGCCCAAAGTAATAACACAGACTAGCCTAGCTTAGAATTTTAAGACGCTCTTTAGAAATGAAGAAAGGATGATTATTATCAGCCCATGTTCCTGTTTCAGAAAGTCCCATTCTAGAGATAGCGCCACACTATAATAGAGAAACTTTTGCTCAGCACAGAGACATGCTCTGGGACTGCAGGGTGTGAATGGCAAGGTCTTAAAGACTAAGTTTAAGTTCTCTAAATTCAATAAACTCTCTAGTGATGCAAGTTATTCAATATCCTAAGGCTGTAGTTTCCGAACTATTAAATGGGACTAATAATGGTTATGTATCTTATAAGGTGTTATGAGCATTAAGGAAGCAAATATATAAAAACTCACATTTATTGAGATCATTATAAGGACTAGATAACTGTTAACATATAAAATACCAAATGCAGCATTTCTTGCTAAAAAACGAAGAAATCCAAAAAGGGAAAAGAAAAAAATGTGAGAGAATGAAAAGATGAAAATAAAGTGTTTGTAGATGGGGAGGGGAGGAGGGGGTGAAGGGAGGGCAGAGGTAAGGGGAAAAAAATGAGAATCAAGACTTGCCATGTAAAGGTACATGATCCCAACAATGAATGTAACTGTACTGTATCCCTAAATGTACCAATAA